CCTCCTCCTCCTCCTCCTCCTCCACGTCTTCCCTTCTTATCGAGGCGTCTACTCTGCACGTTGTGCTGTTGCACTGACTAATCCTATTAATTAAATACAAACCAGGGACTCGCGCTACATTACGGCTGGCAATCGCAAACGTTTAAGCAGCAGGGGTTCTCTGCGAAATGCCTCGCCCTCGCCCTCGCCCTCGCCCCTCGCGCACGCACGCACACATAGAATTTACTCGCGTGCAAATCGGGGGGAAGGGGTCGTGGGTCTGTCGCACTTCTAGACCACACCGCACCGTCTCATAATTAACGCTGAGAGGGTCTATGTCCCCCAGGGTATTGCCGGAACGTACCCTGGGTACGGTCCGGTATACCGGAACGTACCCTGGTACTATCTAATATGGCTGAAGGGGTCGTTGTCGTGTCAGGTACTACAGATATGTACCCGAGGTACGTATATGTATACACAAGTGTACCAGACCTGTATCTTCTCAGCATATATGTACCCTGGGTTTACATAAACGTACCTGCTCGCGGGCAGCATATGAAACCACGCGATAAAGTACGAGAATATCGTAAACCTTCAAAACAAGAGAACAAAAGCCATTTGTAAATGTTTGTTTTGGTTTATAACCGTGGGATAAGTAAGTTTTCTGATGTATTTTCCATGAAAAACACATATTTTACTCATTACTATAACATATATCACTGTAATTGCAATTATTTGTGCAAATGTGTTATTTTCATCTTAATCTTAAGTTATGAGAGGGTCTGGGCTTATAGCTGCCGAGTTTGGTTTAGTTAGGAAATGATAATACGATTTGCGTATCCGTATCGTTCCGCGTATATACGGCAGTATTAACAGGTATCAGGATATGCAGTGTAGGGGCCTATACGTAATACGGTTTTGTTCTACTTTCTGTTTATGTTCGTGGACCGATTAGTTTACAGCTGACCTCAGGGTTTTTGGTAGATAATTTGGGATTTTGGCTACAAGTCATGGAGGCTGACATCTTGCCAAATTCCAGCCAATCAGAAGGCGCTAAATTCTTCCTATGTTATACCGTTTTACGGCTTTTACGACAATACCACGCGACTTGAACGAGACTTCCCCCCTGGGTACATTTATGGAGCACAGCGGTACGGTTATGTAGAAACAACATTGGTCAGGTACACTTGTGTATATACATATATGTACCTCGGGTACATATCTGTAGTACCTGATACGACAACGACCCCATCAGCATTTGTAAGCAGTACTCTACAGGTGCCGCGGAACGATTTTTGAAGTGGGGTGCTCAATTTGTTACGCTCGACAGTGGCCAATGCAGGTTTTCTAGGAAGGTGGTAAGAAACAGGCGGGGGTATGCGGGTCCTCCACCAGAAAATTTTGAATCCCCCACTTTCCTCCTGAAAGTAGGGGATTATGATTATACTCGCCATCCCTCCCACGTCAATAAGTGGGGGGGGGGATGCATCCCCCCATCCCGCTATCTACGCCCCTGCACTTGGGCCCCCACTGTTTCGTGAACAGGCATGGTCCTTGCATTTCGTTTTGCTAGGATCTTTATGTGCCCCTCGGAAGCATCATGCGCTTTAACAGTTTCCAAACGATAGTTTGTAGTGCCGGTGAAAAAACTACCAGACAAGCAGCCTGTACCACAGGGCATACCCTTTGCTGGGTCATACTCTAGCCACGGGTATGACGATTTCCACGCTGGCTGGAACGCACGCATCCTTTTCGTCTTGTCATAGACACGCTGGCCATCTAATTTCTCCTCCTGCGATTTACGTTTGGGAGGTGGAAGGCGACTTCCACATAACAACCTTGATGTTAGTATTATACTATTGGATAAGGATGCACCTACTATTAGCTTCACAACTATTTGTATGGACTGCTTCAAGTAACACACGCATGCGATGTGGTTGCGATGTAAATACCTCCCTATGAGAGCCTATAACTGAGTAGTTGCGTCATTTCTATAATCAGACCTTTTGTTCTATGTCAACAGCTACTGTCAAGGGATCGATTGGTAGACTGGGTTCGTGGCAAACATTGTTTAACAATGTTTGTACTGCCGTAGAGTCGACTTGTACTAGCGTGTCTAACAACGTCTAGCGCGTCTAGCGCGTTACAACAAGGAAAACTTGTTAATGGGAATGAGTTATATATAGCTCTTTGGATCTTGGTTGAGATACGCTGCCGCCTGCGACTATAGTGAAATCGATGGGAGGATGGGAAATTGGGACGGTGAGGGACAGGGAAAATATAACTATAGTCCGCAAGACGAACCGCTATGGGGCATTTACTAGTCGTTCTGATTTTTTACTAGTCTCGGACTAACGGACTAGCGTTAGTGTCGAACCCTGTTATATATATATGTCACAATGAAATGACAAAAATATATATATATGTAGTAAAAAAGTATGTAATATCAGTAATATGTATGTAGTATGTAATAAAAGATTAATATAACACACACATATATATATATATATTATATAAACAAAGTCAAGTTATCGAATAAGGGTGTTTGAAGTTTAATTCACAAGCTTTCAAAGTTACATGTCTTCATCAGGCCAGCAGACATTGGAATAGAATCAAATAATTACAATAATACAATGCGTTATAGATAATCAATGAGCCACACAATTTACGCGTTGCCATGAATACGGACGACAAAAGTACACACACGCACACACGCACACGCACGCACGCACGCACGCACACACACATATTGCTGGCTCTCTTTCTTGGATTTCCCCACCTTGGGACCTCTGCTATCTAGTGCAGTGTTGTCGCACTGTATCTATTAACACCAGCAGGGCAGTTTGGAAGGGTTTATAGTCCCGATTGACTGCCTTATAAAGAAGAATAGCTAAGTCCGGTACAGATCGAGTAAAGGCAACATCACTCAGCTGTTGACTCTCTACAGATCTGAATGGAGACGGAGCAAATAGTCCTGGATCTGTGAGGGCTGAGCCAACCTCTTCAGCATATGCCAGGGCAGCAGTTGCCGCACACGGGAAATCAACTGGTGTGACAGTGGTGTTCTTCTTGTCTATGGCCATACTATTCGGGATTCCGCGTCCTGAATGGTGAAAGGAAACTTGTATAGTGACTGTTTAAATCGTCACAAATCGACTGGAAGATAATGAAATCTGTCTAACTACTAGATCCTCTAACATTATAACTCGTACAGCATGTATGTCATAGATATGGTACATGTACTAAATGAACAAATCTACTCAATGCAGAATGTTTTTACATTTGTACCTGAAATTCTGTGGCAGTTCCATGTGTTTACGCAACTCTCCATACCTATTCTAGCCACCTGCAGAGTGAGGCTGGAGATGCAGTAGCACTGCAATGGGTCCGAGAGATCTAGTGCTTCTTGGTCGACCATTTCAACTAGGGCCGATTTTAGCGGGTAGTTGACTCTGTTGTTTATTTCAGGCCACAGCCTCTCGACTCTCAGATTCTAAAATCACACAAATTACACCACATTTACACAGTTAGTATCCTGGCAGTTAGTTTTGAACGATATATATCATAAATTTGGCAATTACAATAGTAAAGTTGAATGTCACTGCTGCATATCACTACATAGAGTAACTACACATTCACACTCGACAAAAAGGTGTACAATGGTTTCTACACAAGATTAACATTAATGAGCATGCATTATTTTTAATTTTCACCATAGTAAGATATTTGTTTGTTGATATAATTATTTTTAGTATTTTAAATTGAAAGTATCTACGCTTAGCTACCGGTGTAACAGAAGTTGTTTTTTTCTCCAAAAAAACATGTTATTGCTCATCAACAAAATTTCACGCATCTTCCTGTCTGCAATATTTACTAACCCAAGACAGTTTTAAACTGGATATAAATATATTAATGTCAATAAATCTTAAACCTCCTTCCTCATATCGTTTGGTAATTGTTTTTTTTTTACTAACTTTAGGTACTGTATTACTCCAGATGAAAGCATTAAACATTTGGCCTAGTTCTTTTATAGTATTATTATCAGGATTTGGTAAAGCTAATAATAAACGGGTTATTACAGCTACCGTCTCAAATTTTAGGACACTGATCAATCAAAATCGTTACATGCTCATTGTTGCTCACATTTGAATTCTAGTTAATGAGGTGGTAACCGCAGATAGAAGGTACAAAAATATAATGACATGTCACATGAGAACTCACATGCTTGGATTGTGACTGTATGAAGGCGGCCCTTGAAGTGTTGAAGCGCTTCTCACTGTTTTTCTCCTGCATGTATAGGCACAGTTAAAACTCTCGGCCATGGTCGACCCGAATGGTGTCCCACATCCCCTCCTCCAAAACAGCAGCCCTGTATCGTGAACAAGCACAATTACCTAAAAATGTTAATTAAGAAATTGATTGGTTCCCCATTTAATGTTATTTATCATAAACAATCTTCAAATGTAAAAATTTCTATTTCATACCTGAGAACATTATCATAAATTGTGAGGTTGTTCTTGATGGGCATTGTGTCATGCTTCACAATTCTGCTGCTGTAGCCATCAACAGCAATTACGTGGGTGACCTCAAACATGACCAGCTTCTCATTCTGGTCCATGTGTAATTTGTGTCCGTGGTATGCGGCATGGTATGGGATGCTGTTGTGGTTCTGCACAAGCTGTAAATACAAAATAGAGAAAAAGGTAGATATATCATTGCAAGGGTAGCAAACTAGCAATTGAGGAAAGGTCTTGATAATCAGCAAGCGTAATAGACGAGAACATGTATAAATCACATGTGACTGCAATCTGCAAACAATTATAGAAGATTATGATACGAGAATAATAAAAAAAAACATTTAGTCTCGGTGAGATAGGAAAATCTACCAATTTTCAGTGATACAGAAAATATCACCTCATTGTGCTTTCACTGTCACAGCCTACACAAATGATATTTTGATTAATATCGATATTTGATCAAATATGATGACACTGAGTGCATTATAAGTCAATAAAGTCATAACTTCACACTTAAATAACAAGAAATATGGAAAATGGGGAAATATTTTGCATTGTCACCACTATATCTAGATAGCTTATAGCTGGTAGACATATTATTACAGGAGTAGGGGCAGAAACCCATTTCCTATTTTTAACGTCAAATAGGAAAACAAACTAACAGTATGTACCGTGATTATTATTCTTACTGGGGTAGCGCTTTCTACTTTCGATAAGAAAAGGCAATACATCATTTCTTTTCTTAACTTTGCGTGCGACAAGTTAATATTTCATAGATACTACATTAATTTGTGATAGTTCTTGAAATAAAAGAAGAAGACAATCACAGGTATTATAGTCACAATTAGATTTTTACTGTCAGATCTACTATCATTATCTTACCTTACCAGAACCTTATAAGGTATAACACTGATAATGATAGTAGATCTGACAGTAAAAATCAATTGTGATTAGTACCTGTGCAATCAATAGGCGATGTCATTGTCAATGATGCCGTTCAAATTTCGTAGCGTTGATGTAAAATTAATTAAAACTATTAAATTAGGTATCTGGTAACAAGTACATGTGTGGGTATAGACGATTTGTTACACAGTAAGTACAGTTGTATGCAGTGAAATCCTAGAGTCTACTATCCCTTTAAGATACCATTGTGAATGCAATCTAATTTTGTTTTGTTTTATAAAAAATGTTCACATTTATATTATTGCTATTAGTTGTAATTATGCCTTTAACAATGTATAGTTATCAAACCTGCTGCCTCTCCCGATGGTAAGGTGGATTAACTCCTCTTAGAGCAGCCCCCACTCTGTGCTCGGCGACATTCACACCACGGGAAGCCAGGTACCCGGTCATCATACGCCGACCATAAGTTGGACCTACCTACAGACACAAATGATGGATATTTACATAAATCGGTGCTATATTTGATCAATATCAAACTGTTACACACAACGGCCCAACAGTACGAACAGTACACGTGTCTAGCTGACTGGAAGTTTTCTGAAAAGCCATTCTCTTCACAAACAGACATTCTGCGAATTTAGGGTATCCGCGAATATAGGACACGTACGTCAGTCTTGTTTACATCGGAATTCGAGCGCTTGTTTATACCGTAGCTCTAGAACTATAGCCCTTCGCTCGGCCTGTGGCAGACCAGAGTTCTGTTCAAAGAGAGAGAGGCTCGTTTACACCGCGGCTCCCTGTGTAATACCGTGGAAAGACCGAAGTAAATATACATGACTAAGCTATTGTTCTATTTTGGTATACAGGCTAGCTGTGTAAAGTTATAACCCTGGACTATACAGTGGTAGAATTAGCCAATACAGACAGTAGCGTAGACCGGAGTGCCCAGAAACAATAGGTAGACGTGTCTACCAATGTGGGTATATAACCGCGTGTTCGACTAGAGACAGTATCGGAGAGAGAGTCAGAAAGAGACTGTTAAGATATACTAGATTGGTTAGAGAAAGCTACGAGACAGCAATAACCTCGTAAGTTAAATTGTGATGTTACTCGCGCACATCTACTGTACGCGTTTGCCTCGCTAAGGGCTTATGCATAGTTAATGCTGTACAATTAAAGAGGATGCCTGAATACGTATATCATAGTTGTTATGTTCTTTATAATCTGTATTTGATAGACGGTAGCAAAGGGTGTAATATAACACTCACGCGTAACCACTAATACGATCACGGGCAGGATTCCACTTCCCTATACTTGCACGCCGCAGTCGGAGGTTCTCCGCCTCACAGGCACTTGAAGCGTTTCAACTGTAAACACACGCCGCCGCCATTGCGCGCACACTGACACATAAATATATAGTCATTATATATGTTATTATTTATTTAATTATGTTATATATTTATTTATTTATTATTATTATAATAATAAATTATAATAATTATGTGTCAGTGTGCGCGCAATGGCGGCGGCGTGTGTTTACAGTTGAAACGCTTCAAGTGCCTGTGCTCCGCCTGCGCTCGCGGCTTCTCGCCACGCATATATACATCATACATACATACACACACACGCAGCACGGCGCCTCACGGATCGCGAGGTGTCAACGACACGCACGACGACGGGCGCTTACCTTTTTTTCCCCGCGCCGCTGAAACAGCGCTCGGGTATTCCGAGCGAGGCGTCGTCCCGCGGTTTCCCATCACCACCACCACCACCACCATCATCATTATCATCATCAGCCAGCGGCTAGACCATGCCGAAATCAGCTTTCGATCGAGGTAAAGCGAATAACTCGGGGGAGTGGGTGGTCGAACCGATCGCACGCGGTCGCTTCGTGCGTGAACATTTTAAAAGCACGTATCCGCCGATTACAACTTGAAGAAAAAAAATCGCTTTAAATTTTTTTTTTAATCGCCCGACGATTTTTTCCCTATTATAATCCTCGCAATAAAGCGAAGTGGCCGGGGCTGCCCGACCGACGATAGTTACGTTCTAGTGTGTATGAATACTCTTTAACTCGTCGGATTCTCATCACGCCCGTCTTCCCGTTGCGTCATCCCGAGTCTATAGACCATAAAATCTTACCGATCCCCTTACGATAACAGCCCACGGCTAACATCGTCTTCTTCGCCTTTCGTCGTTCAGACGCCGCAAAACTGTCCTTGTGCGCGAAGAGGTGACGTCACAAAACGACCCCGTGACGTCAGACGCACCACGCCGACCATACAGAGCGCTAACGTCTTACTATGCGTTACACGACGTTTACACGACGTTTTGCGTGGCGACGACCTGCAGAAAAAAATCCCCGCGTACGCAGTACATAGTTACTCGCCGCAAAAACACGAGCCGTGACATCATCGATCATCATGCCGAAACCAACGAGCATGTGCGCGAACGAAGAAGACGCAGAACCATTTCTGCGTCGGCAGCGAAAGTAAAGAGAGCTTTCTCTCATTCTCTCTCTCTCTATCTCGTTCTCGTTCTCTCACCCAAATGTCCATGTTGAGCGACAGCTATTCGGTGCTCAAGAAACCATAACCGGCGGTTTTTTAAGAGCCGTACACACGGCGCCTAACCTCGGCGGCAGTGCGCGGCCCGGCTTAGCAACATGACAAGAATGTAATAAACCAAAGGTTGACGTCTCCGTCGCCACGCCCACTCGCGTAGTTATCTTTTTTTATTGTTCGTTTTTTTTCTCTCCCTCCACTTCGCAAATTCCTGTGCAGACGTCAGCACACGGGAAACACGCCGCCATTTGTCTAGAGCGGGCGGGCGGCCAGTCATTTAGTGTTTATAGTCGTGCATAGATGTAAGTAGCCATAACACAGGCGTATCAACGAGACATACACTCCGCCCCCTCGTCCACGCCTCGTCTGTGTGGCGGCGGTGCGGAGCATAATGCTGCATTATCCCAGCGGTGTACAGAGGAGAATGCTCTCGCTCGAAACCTAAGCATACCGAAAAGTAATGCGAACCAACAATCGTATAAAGAGCGCGCGCGCGCGAGCGCCAGCATTATGATTTTATCTTCTGCGCGTCAGTTTAGTACCGAGCGCTGATCCATCCATCTACGCTATGCCGCGGCGATTGTATGCCCGACATTTTACACAACGGCTGGAGTGTTAGGATGGATATACCACACACCGGCGCGCTTCCCCACCCCCACTACCTTCCTTGCACAAGATGGTTACCAGACCGCTAGAAAAAGAACGCCGAGAACAGCGGGGAAGGCAACGACACACGCACCGACTATTCTAGAAGCTGTGGTCTGACGGACTTCTTATATACGAGTACAGCGACTATGAGAGCCAGCGACTTGGTTCCCAGGAGAACAATGCATCTCCTAGCGTTGCATAGCCATGAGCTAGCTGTCCCCGCACCGCTGGGCTCTTTGCTCGCAATAAAAACTTATCCAAAAATCTAGTTCAGAGACACCTGCAGATACAGGTAGCGCGTATTTCGAAGTGAAGTACCATGCCACCACACACACGCACGCAGACACACACACACAGCGAGAAATCGCAGCGTGGGTTTAGCGGTACGATCTGCAGAAAGAGACAGTTAAACCGCCAAAACTGCACCCGCCCCCGTGCACAGCCCGCGCGGACAGACACAGACCCCGTGTGTGGTGAACTGTCACACATAGCAGGACACGCACGCTGCAACAAAGGAACACCTGGTTGCGGAAACATAATTACGTGTAAATAAATATTTTTGATTTGAATCTACCGCCCACGCAGCCGCATTTCTCTTTACGCCCACGCTGATTTCCTACCCCCCACTACTACTGGTTTCCAGTATACCTCATTCCTTCATAGGCACAGCCTCTCAGTACCCATAGGTCTCTCTGGATGCACTATTCCCGGTATTCCCCCTACACACGTTAATTAAATATTTTACATCCCCCATATGCCTAGATTCACTCATTATATTTTCCTACGTGTCCTCCGTCTCCATATGCAAAGACCCAATATAAATTTCCTACATGCCTCCTTCCACACAATATAACTTCCTACTGGCCCCTCACCCTACACCCACTAAATATAAATCTTCTACATGCTTCCCTTGCATAAGCCCACTCAAATTAAAATCTCCCACATGCCCCCAAGACCCAAT